ATGATATGGACAAGCACAGCTAAAAATAGCTAAAAAAAATTACATTTGCCCAGTAGAGAACAATCTAGAAAGCTGAAAAAAGCAATTACATAAATAATATATATATATATACAGTGGGGATTGAAAGTTTGGGCACCCCAGCAAAAATTTGTATTAATGTGCATAAAGAAGCCAAGGAAAGATGGAAAAATCTCCAAAAGGCATCAAATTACAGATTAGACATTCTTATAATATGTCAACAAAAGTTAGATTTTATTTCCATCATTTACACTTTCAAAATAACAGAAAACAAAAAAATGGCGTCTCCAAAAGTTTGGGCACCCTGCAGAATTTATAGCATGCACTGTCCCCTTTGCAAAGCTGAGACCTGCCAGTGTCATGGATTGTTCTCAATCATCGTCTGGGAAGACCAGGTTATGTCAGTCTCAAAGGTTTTAAATGCCCAGACTCATCTGACCTTGCCCCAACAATCAGCACCATGGGTTCTTCTAAGCAGTTGTCTAGAAAACTGAAACTGAAAATAGTTGACGCTCACAAAGCTGGAGAAGGCTATAAGAAGATAGCAAAGCGTTTTCAGATGTCAATATCCTTTGTTCGGAATGTAATTAAGAAATGGCAGTCATCAGGAACAGTGGAAGTTAAAGCAAGATCTGGAAGACCAGAAAAATATCAGAAAGAACAGCTCGCAGGATTGTGAGAAAAACAATTCAAAACCCACGTTTGACTGCACGATCCCTCCAGAAAGATCTGGCAGACACTGGAGTTGTGGTACACTATTCCACTATAAAGAGATACTTGTACAAATATGGTCTTCATGGAAGAGTCATCAGAAGAAAACCTCTTCTACGTCCTCACCACAAAAATCATCGTTTGAACTTTGCAAATGAACATATAGACAAGCCTGATGCATTTTGGAAACAAATTCTGTGGACCGATGAGGTTAAAATTGAACTTGAAGGTTAAAATTGAAGGGGCACAGAATTTAATGAAAAGAACCTCTGTCCAACTGTTAAGCATGGGGTTGGATCAATCATGCTTTGGGGTTGTGTTGCAGCCAGTGGCACAGGGAACATCTCACGAGTAGAAGGAAAAATGGATTCAATAAAATTTCAGCAAATTTTGGATGGTAACTTGATGCCATCTGTGAAAAAGCTGAAGTTAAAGAGAGGATGGCTTCTACAAATGGATAATGATCCTAAACACACCTCGAAATCCACGGGGGATTACATCAAGAGACATAAACTGAAGGTTTTGCCATGGCCTTCACAATCTCCTGACCTCAACATAATTGAAAATCTATGGATAGACCTTAAAAGAGCAGTGCGTGACAGACAGCCCAGAAATCTCAAAGAACTGGAAGACTTTTGTAAGGAAGAATGGGCAAAGATACCTCAAACAAGAATTGAAAAACTCTTGGCTGGCTACAAAAAGCGTTAACAAGCTGTGATACTTGCCAAAGGGGGCAGTACAAGATATAAACTCTGCAGGGTGCCCAAACTTTTGCAGATGCCATTTTGTTTTCTGTTATTTTGAAAGTGTAAATGATGGAAATAAAATCTAACTTTTGTTGACATATTATAAGAATGTCTAATCTGTAATTTGATGCCTTTTGGAGATTTTTCCATCTTTCCTTGGCTTCTTTATGCACATTAATACAAATTTTTAGCTGGGGTGCCCAAACTTTCGATCCCTACTGTAGGTGCACATACACAGAGATAGATAGGCAGTATACAAGGTGTGACAGTTTAATTCCTGGAATGGACTGTAAAAAAAAAAATATCAAACACCTTTGCATTCTTCAAAAGATGGGATGAAATTTGAAGACAATGTTCTTTCTGATCTTCTGTGACAATTTAAGGCACCATCTTTGCGGAAATCTTTGTCATTCCAAAAACCTCCCTTTATAATATGACGCACTATTTCCCTGTTCATGTTCAATTCTTCTGCCATCATTCACACACTCAGTCTAAGATCTGAGCATATGAGGGTTCGCGCTTTGTCAATATTTGCATCCGTTCTTTTTGTTTTTGGCTGACCACGTCTTGCATCATCATGGACACCTTCCTGCCCCTCTTTAACCAGTTCCCATCCGGCTCTCATTTGACAATTAGGCAGCCCGACAGATCATAACAATTATACACAAATGTATTATTGTGTTGATCTCTGTGATTGGTCACAGTAATCCACATGGTACAGACAGGGCCAATCATAGCCCATCTGTTACGTGATTAGCTGTGGTTAATCACAACTAACAACAATAGTAAATACTGAATGAATCCATTTTATTAAGTAAAAATGGTTTTGCTTATACCAGTGAAATTCACTGGTATAAGCAAGCATAGTGTGTATAAAAAAAAAAAAATATATATATATAAAAATATATATACTGATCACGTCCCCAAAGAAGTAGAGTGTTACTATGGTAACACTGTATTGCTTTGGTCACAGTATGTTAAAAAGAATGTAACAAAGAAAAAAAAAATGAATTTGTTGTTTTTTTTTGTTTGCATACTGTCACCAGTCAGTATCCCTGATGACTGCCACTCCCGTTATGATGATGCTGTACTGCACTGGTGACAGTATGTAAAAAATAATTGGGAAAAATAATTTCTTAATTTTCCAAAAAGTTGTGACAAAAAAATTACAACTGCAAAAAACTCGCCATGCCTCTTACTAAATACCTTGGACTGTCTTCTTTCCAAAAAGGGGTCATTTGTGGGATTTTTTTGTTATACTGTCCTGGCAAATTAGGGCCTCAAGAATTGAGATAGGCCGTCAGTACATCAGGATTGATACATTTTCAGATATATATCCCATAGTTTGTGGACTATGTTTTCCTACAGCCTAAATGCACTGATTTGGGTTATTTTCATCAAAGAAATGTGGCGGAATACATTTTGGCCTAATTTCTGAAAAAATATATATTTGCAAAATGTTATAACGAATAAAAGCTTCAAAAATTGGCCTGGGCAGGAAGGGGGTGAAAGTGCCCGGTATTGAGTTGGTTATACCGCCTATGCTATTCACAAATGCTTGATTTCGTTGCGGTATATTTTCATGTAAATTTTTATGTTAATCCACTGCTCCATATTCCTGTCACTCATTTTCTTCCCACCAACAGTGCAATGCACACATGTTATTTCGTCTATTACTTCGTAATGACTGAATCAACTGGTCTGCGACCCAGGCAAGTGCAAGATAGAACACAGCAGAACACACTCGAGTGCAAGTGGCTGTATGACTCACCATAGTGCGATGCCGTGGGCATTCTAGGAATTAAAATATCACATCTGGTATCCTGGTGTGGGACATTTGGGCATTGTGCTTTCAATGGTTTACATTACGAAAATCATGTTAAGAAATGTTGAAGGGCAATAATTTTCCTTTAAAACGCAGAATTGAGCATCAGGAACCCATTTCTTGCTTTGAAAGTTTTAAGTTCAGTTTTTGGTTTAGGTACAAGAAGAAGAAGAAGTAGAAGAAGAAAAGCCGTGTTCCATTGAATGATGGATTTTTTTTTTTTTTTACAAACAACCCTATTTAACCACATTCCAAGTAGGAAATATGTCACCAGCACTCCTCATTTGCCTGACGAAGGTGCCCTGCGTGGTTCTGAAAAGTTGCCTTTGTAAATATGATGTGACCGCTAAATAAAGCTTTGGACCTGTTTTTTAGAATCCTTGGTGTGCTGGTGACATAAAGTATTTTTTACTTTGAATGTCTGTGGTTTCCAGCCGGTGGTCGCTGCAGCACCCCCTGACAGCTAACAGACATTTCCAGGAACGTGTGCTTTGGGAATACTACGAATATACCTATTCAACCACATCCTACAGGCATGTTAGGGTTTTTTGAGTGTCGTGTAGTTAAGTTGTGTGCAACTTTTATTCACCTCCCTCCTTTAGCCTCGGCACATAGCTGTCAGTGAAAGCTTCCGGTTCTGGCAGCTGGATCAGGTGACATTTATTTTTCTGGGCTTGTGATTACATTATGGAATGGTTAATAAGAGTGCACACACAACTGGACACCTGGTTTCTGCTTGAGGGTGGGTTTCCATTAGAATGTTGTTTGTGTCTCTCTCACCTTAGAATTGAACTCCAGGCACAAATCCTTCAATTCAAAATCTATTTCTTAGGGATATGAATCCACTTTGTGTGCACCCAAATATCGTCTTGATAAAGTAGCAGAGAAATGATCACTTTGCTGCACATAGCCTGTGCAGAGAGGTGAGCGATGATGGGACCCAGCAAGTCCACCCTCTACAGGCTGCCTTCAGAATTCCATAGGGGGTGGATACAAGACCAGCCACTCTGCACAAGGTTTGAGAGCAGAATTGACCGGTCTTTATTATAGAAAATGCCTGAACCGGGGCAAAGTACAGGAGAAGTTTCATGTTTGATTACTGCACAGATCTGTAAGAAATACATAAAGGACAGCAATATTAAATGGGCAATACACATGGCTTTTGTATATAGTGATATTTGTTTAGGCCAGATTTGAGCTTTTCGGCTATATTATTTTGCATCCTAATAAAAAAGGTGTTTTTATGTTACATACAAAAGCAGGCAGTTTCTGGTTTTCCTAGAATCACCCTTGTTAACATTTCCTCATGGTATAATGTTTTGGGGTTTAAATTAATATGTTGGCAGTATGATCTATCCACTAGTTCTATTTTTTTCTTCTTATAGATGACTGTCTGAGAACACAGGAGCCAAAAGAGACAATAGCAGATTTAAACAATGATAAAACATTGCCACCTACCCTGGGTAAAACTAAATCCCAGAAAGTGAGGAAGAAAAAAAAAACGACATAAGGAAGAAAACAAAAATGATCAGAACCCGTGTGAGGATAGGCGTCGGAGCCTCCGCCAGTCCACTTTAGAATACAAGTGTCAACAAACTGTCAAAAGCTCCCTGGAGGTATCAAAGGTCACTGTCCATTATTCATCCAATAAGCCTCAAAAGAAGTGTATTTGCTCTGATTGTGGGCGTAGCTTCATATCGATGTCTCATCTGATTATTCATCAAAGATCACACACTGGGGAAAAACCATACGAATGTGAAAACTGTGGAAAGTGCTTTGCTAGGAAGTCCTCTTTGGTAATTCATGAGCGGATCCACAGTGGGGAAAGGCCATACAACTGCACACATTGTGGAAAGAGTTTTACCAGTAGTGCAACCCTGTCCACGCACATCCGCATCCACACTGGAGAGAGACCATACGTCTGTTGGGAATGTGGGAAGAGTTTTACCAGTAACTCATCCCTTTTCATCCATAACCGCACCCACACTGGGGAGAAGCCATATATATGTGTGGAATGTGGAAAGACTTTCTCATGTACGTCGGCTTTGGTCATACACAAGAGGTCTCACACCGGAGAGAAGCCATTTACCTGTGAGGAGTGTGGCAAGAGCTTTGCTGATAACTCCCGACTGGTGAAACATCGGATGGCTCACACAGGGAACTGGGCATATATATGCAGTGACTGTGGGAAAGGGTTTACCTGCATCTCCAATCTGAATGTCCACCAGAGATCACATACTGGAGAACGCCCATATGCTTGTACTAAGTGTGATAAGAGGTTTGCCTACAACCGGGATCTGGTGCGACACCAAACTACTCACACTGGAGAGAGGCCATATGCTTGTTCTGAGTGTGGAAAGAGGTTCACCCGCAAATCCCATCTTACCACTCACCTAAAGATCCACTCAAGAGTAAAGCTAGTCATATCATCGGAATAGAACTGTTTATACATAGATATTGTATATAGAAAATTGACCAATTGCAAATGCATATACTATAGGTAGGCAGGGCTGGACAAATACCGGCATTTAGACAGTCAATGCAACTGAAGAAGTTCACCGACATGAACTGACTGGCCCCAAAGTTCTCTCTGAATTTGTCCACTCCTATAATAGCACTTTCTAGAAAGGTCACTTTTAAATTTAATTTTGTACAACCCCAATTTCAAAAAATCTGGGACGCTGTGTAAAATCTATATAAAAGCAGAATGCAATGATTTACAAATCTCATAAACCCATATTTTATTCACAATAGAAAATGGAAAACATATTGAATGTTTTAAACTGTGGCAATGTACTATTCTAAGAAAGAAATAAGATAATTTTGAAATTGATGGCAGCAACATGTCTCAAAGTTGGGACGGGGTCATATTGCCTGATAAAGGATTCCAGCTGCTCAACAGTGTTGGGTCTGCTTTGTCGTATTTTTTGTTTCAACATGTGCCAAATAGTTTCACTTGGTGAAAGCTCTGGACTGCAGGCAGGACAGTTACATACTGTAGTTATATAGTTGGTAAGGCTGAATAAAGACACCAGTCCATCCAGTTCAACCTGTTTGGGTGTTTGTGTATTTATCACTTTCCATATCCATGTATATTGTGTTCAGTAAGATGCCCATCTTAGAGAATTAGTGACACTTCCCACTGAAACCATCGGTTGTGAAAGGGAGTTTCATATCCTTGCTACTCTTAACAGTAAAAAAACGAAACCCTTACACAGTTTAAGGTTAAAGCACGTCTCATCCAACTTCCTTGAGTGGTCATGTGTCTCTTGAGTGACCTGTCACTGAATAGTTTCCTATGTCTCTTCTCCAGGGAGAATAAGTTTAATGTTTGTAATCGTTCCTCATAACTGGTTTTGTTGCCCTTATCTGGACTCTCTCCAGTTCCAGCACATCCCTCCTGAGGATTGGAGACCAAAACTGGACAGCATACTCCAGGTGCGGTCAAACCAGGGTTTTGTAACGTGGTAGAATTATAGTTTTATCTCTTGAGTAAATACTCTTTTTAATAATGCTAATATTCTACTGCCCTTGCTTGCTGCATGCTATTGCTGAGTCAGTCATCAGCTAGGACCCCCGGATATTTTTCCAGCCTTGATTCCCCAAGAGGTTCTCCCCCTGTAGCTTGCATTCATATCTTTAGCCCCCAAGTGCAATAATTTACATTCCCCTACATTGAAACCCATTTGCCATGCGTTTGCCCACCCCTCTATCTTATTGAGGTCTTCCTGTAGAGTTTCTATACCCTGTCTTGAAGTTATTGCCGTGCTTAGCTTTGTATCATCAACAAACACTGAGACTGAACTATTGATCCTAACCTCTATATCATTTGCGAAAATGTTAAACAGGATTGGTTCCAAGAAAGAGCACTATGGTACCTCACTTATAACTGCAGACCATTCAGAAGGTACACTATATTTATGACCATCCTCTGGATGCGCCCCTGTAATCAGTATTCTATCCAGGTACATATACCATCGTCAACGACAATAGAACTCAATTTGTGGGTTATACATTTATGGGGTACCATATCAAATGCTTTGGCGAAGTCTAGATAAACTACATCCACAGGCCTACCTTTATCCAGACTGCAGCTCACTCAAAGAGTGTTAACAGGTTGGTCTGGCAAGAACGATTTTTCATAAATCTTACTACTAATGATACTGTTCTTATGGTCACTTATTATTCCCTTCAATAGTTTGCAAACTATTGATGTTAGGCTGACTGGCCTGTAGTTTCCAGGTATGTATCTTGGCCCATCCTTGAATATTGGTACCACGTTAGCTTTACGCCAATTCGTTGGTACCATTCCAGTCAGTAAGCTTCCCCTAAAGATTAGAAATAACGGTTCAGTAACTGCAGTTATTTGTAAGTCATCTGGTCTTGGTGATTTATTCACATTAGTTTTTCTTTTTAGAACACTGGCTTGTTAGCCACAATGGTACATTCCTTGCTGTGTTGCTAACAATACTGTCTTGTCTAATACATCCCTCTTTTTCCATAGTGAGTTCTGAGAAGAACATATTTAATACATTTGCCTGCTCCTTGCCTCTTATAACCAACTTCCCTTGATCAACTTTTATAGGGTCAGTATGCTCTGAGTTTGCTATTTTACTATTAATGTATTAAAAAATGTTTTGGGATTCTCTTTACTCTCCTCCACTATGTGTCTCTCATGGTCTATTTTCACAGCCCTGTTCATGTGCTTACATTTCTTATTGCATTCTTTGTAGTGCTGGAATGCTGATGGTGTCCCCTCAACAGTTTTTTCTCTCTTTAATGAGCCTTTTTTACGCTCAGATTTAGCCACCCAGGTTTAACCTTAGTTATTTTATATTTGTTGCCCATCTGAATACACTGGCTAATTCCATTACCTAAAATGCTCTTAAAGCACTCCCACTTTTCCTCCGTGTCTTTTTTTTATAGAAAATCTCCCCATATAATTGCATTTTATTTACTTATATTCTTATTTCAGGTACTTCTATAACTCCATCAATTTACACAGTGTTTACATAAACATCAGTCCCTACCCCTCAAGGAGCATACAATCTAAGGTCCCTGACTCACATACATATACACACTAGGGCCAATTTAGACAGGAGCTGTGGTTGGGATTCGAACCAACAACCCTAGTGCTGCTAGGTGGATTTGCTATGCACTTTGCCACTGTTCTGACCCCATCATGAAGTATGGAGTGCAGTTTGGTAAAGTTTGCTTTCTTGAAATTTAATTTAATTGTCCTACCCTCATGTCTGCTTTTCCTGTGTTTTACAGTGAATGTACAGAAACTTCCACTGTTTCCCAAGTTATCCCTTACTTCCACATCTGCTATCAGCCTTTTGTGATTAGTAGGTCAAGCAGAGCCTTATTTCTAGATGGGGCATCCAAAACTGAAAACATAAAATTGTCTTGCAAGACATTTAAGAAGTGCCAAGTCTTAGAAGAGTGAGCAGTTCGATCTGCCCAATCAATATGGATAATAGAAGTCCTCCATGATAATAACATTGCCCTGCCTTGCTGCTATTTCTAACTGTGAAAAGAGATTGGTCTCCTTTTCATCCTTAAGGGAGGGGGCCTGTAGCATACCCCCACTATTAGTTTCCCACTTGTTTATTCCCTTTGAAGTTCCAGCGACAAGGATTCCACCGCTTTCACTGCCCCGTTAGTAATGTCATCCCTCGTGTTAACCAGCAAATCACTCTTGATGTACATGAACACCCTTCCCCCCGCCCCCTTCTGTGTACCCTGATCCTTCGATACCCTGGACAGTCACAAGCCAGTGCATGTGTGCTGCTAAATCAGGTCTCTGTTACTCCCATGAAGTCTAAATCCTCTTCATGTATCAGTAGTTCCAGTTCCTCCATTTTGTTCACAAACCTTCTAGCATTTGTGAACATGCATTTTAGTTTGTTATGGCCATGTTATTTTATCCCTGTGTTTGTTCCGAGGCTGCAGTAGTATTCTGCCAGAGCACACTTGTTGAGCCTTAAGTATAACTAAAGGCAAAATCATTTTTCAGTTTTGGATATAATGGAGAGGGATTGGTGTACCTGTCAAGTTTTTTTCATGCTGTCTTTGCTCCCATTAAGTTAATTCATCCTTTCTATTTGTCCTGATTACCATTATCATTGAAAGTGAGAGTAAGAGAAAATCTCTAATTTTGGGGTGTTCTTAGAACAGTAATGGATGGTAATTTTTCCAATGGGGACTGGTTCTGGTGACTTGGTGATCCCCAAGGAATTCCTTTAATTTGCAGGGATTGCCTCTCACTTCCTGTTTGACTATGGGCTATGAAGTGAAGAGAAATCTCTGCTATATTATAACTCTCCTTTGCTCTATCCAATATGAAAATAGTTTTTCCTGTAGTTCTACTTTAAGTACTCCTGTTACATTGACCACCATAGTACTTTCTGTCCTTCGTTCACTAGCTGGAAAAGCTTCCTCTGATCCCCTAAACCCCCCCATCAGCTAGCTTAAAATTTAATCTAATGTTTTGGCCATTCTTTTCCCCCCAAGAGAGTGGCACCCTCCCCATTTAGGTGCAGTCCACCTCTGCTATAGAGCATGGCAATTCTGGATCATGTTCAGGTATGACTTCCTCTTTGCATGATAGAGCTTTAACTTGCTTAACATTTTTGAATGGCACTGTGTTCACTGACAGTAATTTTTGGAAGTATTTCTGAGCCCATGCAGTGGTGTCCCTTACAGAATCATGTCTGTTTTTAATGCAGTGCCGTCTGAGGGCCAGAAGATCACATGTATCCTATATTGCGTTTCTGCCTTGTCCCTTGCACATAGAGATTTCTCCAGATTCTCTGAATCTTTTGATGATATTATGTACTGTATATGATGATATATGTAAAGTCTTTGCAATTGTACCTTGAGTAATAGTATTCCAAAATTGTTCAACAATTTCTAGATGTAACTTTTCACAGATTGGTGGTTCACCAATCAAGAGGTATTCTGCCCATCTTTACTTCTGAGACACTGTGACTCTCTAAGATGCCCTTTTTATACCCAATCCTATTACTAACCTGTTGCCAATTAACCTAATTTCAAAATGTTCTTCCAGCTCTTCCTTGTTAGTACCACTTACTTTGCCAGATTTTTTTGTTGCCCTGTCCCAACTTTTTTGAGACTTGTTACTGCCATCAATTTCAAATTTACCTTATTTTTTTTCTTAAAATAGTACATTTTCTCAGTTTAAAGATTTTATATATTTTCTGTTGTGAACAAAATATAGGATTGTGAGGTTTGCAAAGCATTTGTTTTTATGTAGATTTTACACAATGTCCTCACTTTTTTGGAATTGGGGTTGTAGTTTGACTTTTCTGTTTAAGTCTAGTACATTTTTCTCTTGTGTACTAATTGTAATATGTGTAATGGTTATGCAAAATGTCTCCTTTTTGTATAACTAAATCTTATAACAATTTCAAAA